CGAAACTGATGGGTAGGAAAGAAAGGGGGTGCCATACATCCCTGAAGAGAGGTCCTGGCACAGAGATCACAGGTGTGAGTAATCTTAAGAATGATAGCTTTTAGAGAAGTGTGTGTGACTATTGGGGCTAAGAGTTTGTATAGGGCCTGTGATCCTATATGAAAACAGTTGTGTAAGTCAGCTATGATGTCTAAGGCCTGTTAATGTGGGAGAAAAAGTTTAGATCCCTGAAAAATCCATCCCTGAGTGTTTTGTGTGTAACCTGGTTTATGAAGTAGCTGTAACTGCTCTGGTGAGTAATTAGGCTGAGGTAGACTATTAGGGACTAACGGGAGAAAATCAGAAGGGCAGGGCCTTTGTGCAGCTAGCTTGGCTTGTGAATCTGCAAAGGCATTGCCTTGAGAAATAGGATCTGTAGAGTTTTGGTGTCCCCTACAATGAATAACTGCTGCCTGCTTTGGAAGTTGGGCTGCCTCTAGAAGTTTAAGGATAATGGGAGCATTAATGATGGGGGGTTCCCTGAGTGGTAATAAAACCCCGTTCTTGCCAGATAGAGGCATGAGAGTGTAAAATGCTAAATGTATACTTTGAGTCAGTGTATATATTTATAATCTTGCCTTTGGCTAGTGTAAGAGCCCTTGTAAGGGCAATAAGTTCTCCCCTCTGCGAAGAGGTCCCAGGTGGCAGTGGATTTGCCTCTATAACTTTTGACTGGTTAACTATTGTGTATCCTGCCTTTTTTTGGTTGTCTGTCTTTGTTGAACTGTCATCTATGAACCATGTGTCGAATGCCAAAGAGAGAGGTATGCTACTGATGTGAGAGAAATGGGTGGGAGTCATCTGTAAGAGCTCAATACAATCATGGTGAGGGTGGCCCTCTGAGGTGGGAAGTAAGGTGGCTATACTTAGAGGACCACTAGTTGCAATAGAGATGGAAGAGTCTTGAGAGAGAGCTAAGTGTACTTGTTGAAGGCGAGAAGGGGTCATTAGAGCAGGGAGCACCTTATGTGAGATAAGCTCAAGTAGGTGATGAGGTGAGTGTACTGTAATAGATTGCCCTAATGTAAACCTTTTAGCTTCCTGTGTCAAGAGGGCTGCAGCTGCAAGAGCTCAGAGTCAAGGAGCCCATCCTTTTACTGTGTGATCTAGCTGTTTTGATAAGTAAGCTACTGCTTGAAAAGAAAGTCCCTTTTTGTGTCCTAGTACACCTATAGCATTGTGGCCCTGACAAGTAGTGTATAGGATGAAAGGTTGGGAGGGATCAGGAAGGGTAAGAGCTGGAGCTTTTAGGATAGCCTCTTTTAATTTATGAAAGGAGGCATGTATGGGCCTAGTAGGGTCCAGGGGTTCTGATAAGGAACCTTAGCGGCCTTGTAGAGGGGTTGAGCTAGGGCTGCAAAGTTAGGAATCCAGAGACGAAAGAAATTAGCTAAACCTAGGAAAGATGGAACCTGCTGTTTAGTTGTGGGCACCTGGGGATCAGGAAGAATTGCCTTATGATCTGAGGTGATGGAGCGAGTAGTGGGGGTGAGAGCAAGACCTAGGTATTTGACTTTTGGGGAGGCTATCTGGGCTTTAGCAGGAGAGACCCTGTATCCACGACTAGCAAGGAAATTAAGAAGACTGGCTGTGTGGTTTATGGCTAACATATGGGATGGAGAACATAATAGAAGGTCATCTATATATTGAAGGAGAACACTAGGTTTGAGATCAAGTTCTGTGAGGTCAGTAGTGAGAGCCTGACTAAAGGAGTGGGGACTATCCCTGAACCTAAGGGTAGTATTTAAAATCACATTAACATCCTTAAAATGTAAATCATAACAATTAGTAATGAATTCAAATTGCCTGAAATAATTCTGTGGGTCAACAGAGAAGCTACCTAATTTATGGGCAATCTGGGGTAGATCAGAAAGGGGAAAAGGCACATGGATGTTAACAAGTCCCTTGTGGTCAGCTTGCTCCCAAAGCAGTAGAAGAGCCTGAGGAGAAGATTCCAGAGCAGAGGGCCATTGGGCAGCCATCCCTCCGGTAGGCACATGTGAGCAATCATCTGTAGAGCAGCTACAGAATTGCTGCCAGTCACCCTGGGAAACAGGCAGATGGCATCTCACTGTGTGCTTTGCAGTGAGAGCAATGCTGTCGGCACCACAGTGAAGCATCATATGCACTACAACAGGGCAGCTGTTGCAGTTCCCTAGAGGAGACACAAGGGGGCGCCCATTGACAGTGAGGGTCCTGGGAACATGGCGGTGTGCTGTCACGTGACCTAAAACATGGCAGCACCCTGTCGCCATGTGACCCTCCTGAACATGGCAGCACCATGCCACGTGGCAGAGGGTTGCAACATGGCTACTATTGCGGGCGCAAGCTGGAACAATCACGCAGCCTGCTGGAAGGACAGAGCGATGGAGACCTAGTATGGTGGGTGGGTGGTGAGAATGCTGTAGGGGGTAGAGAATTCTCAAGATAAAAAGAAATCGGAGACTTTGAGGAAGCACTAACAGAGTGATTAGGGTTGCTGGGAGAGTTATGGGTCCCAGAAGGCAGAGAGGGAGATGATCGCACAGCAGGAGGTATCTGCAACGCATTGGGACCAGGACTGCTGAGAGAATCAGGCATAGGGGGAGGGGAGAGCAGTTTGGTGGGAGGTAATGGCAGGCAATGAGTTTGGGGGTAGGCAGGCAGCAGCCGGGAAAACACCAGAGGAACATCCTCAAGCAAATCCTGAGGGTAGGACGGAAAAGTTTGCAGTGCGGTAGAGTTAGCTAAAAGTATCTCAGTGGGATCACAAGACTTAATGAGAGACTGGCGTGTTCTCAGAACAAGAAAGGCCTGAACACAAGGGAGTTCTAATAACTTGTTGCTGGTCTGACAGAAATCATACAGGTTTCTAAGAATGCAGTGGTCTAATGTTCCTTAGGGCCAACACTTGCCAATAAGCAGGTAGGTTGGCCAGACCTCCTGGCAGTAAAATGTTAATTGTTTAGTTTTTATGGTACTTTTAATTTTTAGAGTATGTAAACTGGAAACTAGGCATTGTAAAGGCGTCTTTTGGGAGTTAGAAAATACATTTCGCATGACTGATTCAGGCAAGAAAGAAGCTGGTGGTCCAGATCAAGCTGTCACTCATTTGGCATCACGTGGCTGCTATGGCTCCAAAACTCATATATTCTAGTTGTCACTGAGAGATTTACGAGTGGAGCCCACATAGTGTCAGTAACAGTTTTGCCCATGAAAGCACAAGGCTTTAAGGGGAGTGAGGCGATTCTTTCAGTGTGGGCGGTCCAAAAATCTCTGCTTTGGGCTATCTGAACCCAAAGAATGTGAGAGATGTTATAGAGTGTGGACACAGGTTTGCCCAGAAAGAATCATGCCCTGGGCTGTCCTAAGGACGTGAAAATGAACAGAATGCACAGAACAACGTGAACGGGGAGAAGAGTAGACTGTGGCTGCCCAGTAAACAAAAGATCCCCGGGGAGTGCTCACATGAAATCAATCTGGCCAATGCTGAGTGCAGGTGGCTGGGGACAAGGACTTCTCGAGAGAGGAAAGAGTTCAGAATTAATCCAGGATGTTATCTGGTTATTGACTAGGGGACTCAACTGGGTGTGTCCCAGGAGTCAATCGCCTGCCAATCAAGTCATGGCATGAAATGCTAGGATTATTTCCAAAAGATGAAAAATATTTCCAAAAGATGAGAAGTATAAAATAAAAAGTGGCTTTTATTCTGAGAACATCATCCCCTGACACAGCCTAGACATGGCAGCCACACCCTTAGCTCCGGCCTTGGAGCTTATCCCAAGAGAAATGGAGAATCTGGGCAAGGGGAGCCAAAACAAAGAAATGCATATTCCTAAAGCCTGAGGCACTGAAGCTACCTATAGACCAGTAGTGGGATTTCACAAATTTTGTAAGAAAATCTGTGCACATGCTTAGCATGGTGGTTGACGCCTGCAATGCCAGCAATCAGGAGGCTGAGGTGGAAGGATCCTTGTGAGTTCGAGTCCTGCTTGGGCTATGAAGTTAGCTCCAGCCCAGTGTCAACTACTTAGTGAGATCCTGTTTCAAAAAAGACAACAAAACAAAACAAGATTCTCTGGGCATAGGAAACTGGGATCATTTCATGAGTTGTGGGGACTAAATATTTCATACCATGAGAAAATACCTGGGATATTAAGGGAAAGGGGAATTTGAATCACATTTCTAAGGGTTTCCCTTCCACCTGGATTCATTTGAAATTTGGGAAAACCTGCGGCTGATAGGCTCCCTAGGATGATGCTGGTTTATGTGTTGAGTTAGTACCTGATGTCTAGTGTGCAAGGTTATGCTGGAATAGCTGCAGACCTCCTTCAAATTGGGATGTCAGGCATGTGAACCACAAGGAAGCTGGACAGTTAAAGCAGGCACTACAAATATACATGCCCTGGAAGGATTCTCCTTCACTTATGGACTCATCCTCTGGTTGCTGGCTTTCAGTGTTAAGTGATACTACCAAGGTGGCAGTAATCCAGGAGAGAGTGCATGGAGGTTTTGCAGGTTTATTTTCCAAGCCATCAGAAAATCGACAGAACCCAACTCAATGTGGCATTTTCTTTCCTCAAACTGGAACATCTGGCTCTATAAGCTTTAAAAAATTAATAGGCTGGGGCAGTCAAGTTTGGACCCGTTAGATCAAGGCACAGAACAAGAGGTTTTCCAATTACTTCCCTCCACTTCACAAAGCATGTCCAATTTGCTTGATCACTACAGCTAGAAAGAAAATTCTGACCCAACCTAGAGAGGCTAAGGAAAATACTGCATTATTGAAATGACTGTGGCTGTATGAGGTGGAAAGTTACAGAGTTGGGCTAAAACAGTTCACAGAAACCAGCAGGCTTGTGGTTGCCAGGCAACCCCACTGGGCTGTGATTGGCTGAGCAGCATAGTGAGGTAGACTTCTGGCTCTAGAACACACATTTGCAGTAGGAGACCTGAGTCATAATGCTGGTCATTGCCATGGAGACCTCAGTGGCGCAGAGGATCTTGCAGGGCAAGATTTAAATAGAGTCACGATTCAGAGGACTGATATACAACAGTATTTTCTCTGAAGTGTTCACTGCTCAGAATTTGTCGATTGAAATGTCTGCAAATCTACACATGGTATGATTATTAATGGGATATGAAACATCCCAGGAACTGGCAGAAGATCTCTGCAATGTTCTTGCCTTGAGCATCCGCATTCCCTTTGTCATGACTGTCATTTTGGTGAGTGTTTTTCCCTAAGATATTCAGTGAAGACTTGCTGGCATCATTCACCTGCAGTATAAGAACTTTCTGTGAAATTTCTCAGCAGAAATCCTCTGCAAGCACATAGCTTTGAAAATGAGAGAGAGTGGCTGAAGTTGAATTTCAAGAGCAGATATCCTAAAACAATGAAACAAGCCCCAAGCACGATCTTGACATTTTTCGCAGATCAACATGTGTGGAAATATGGGGAAAGTTCGATATCAAGACTGAGAACAGAGCTCACCAACTTTCAAGGTAGGAAAGACCAAGGATAAACATGGGAAAGCAAGACAACCATTCATTCTGATTTAAAAATCTTTAAGGATGAAAGGGCAATTATATTCTCATGATGATTTATTCAGGCTGTTGAAGTGAGGTTCTCATGTTGGTTGTCACATGTGTGATCTCATGCTTTGGGCAGCGGAACACAGGTCAGAAGATGTGCAACTAGCTCTGGTGCAAGATACAATAGTGATAAAAGAAAATCTGCCTAAATCCTGTGTATTCCTTTCCTTTGAGAGCATATATGGATAATTTAACAGTTGTCAAAAGAGAATATGTCTGTTGGGTCATGGATTCACCAATTAAAATGGCACTTCATATAACATTTTCAATTTTGCTTTCACAGTTCCTGATATACAGGGTCTGAGTCAGGCAGATTGCAGAATAAATCTCTTCAATAGATTTTAATTCCATAATTGTTTGAAACCCAGGGACACCCTTTGGATTTATTGTTTTGTATTTTATTGGTTGTGTGGTTTTTCAAATTGGTTGCTTTACTAATTTTAACTTTGTGAGTCAGAGAAGACCACACATATAGATTTAGATTTTCCCTAAAACGCTGAAGGAATCCATCAAAGCTATAATACATGATTTAGATTTGTCATATTAAAATGTGAAAGGCTAACAGACACTGTCACTTTTAATCTAATCTCAGTGTTGGGATAAACATCTTTGTACCATTCCATTGAAATATGTCCTCTTTCTTGTCACTGGTCCTGTTGGAAGGTGTTTTTTGTGAAGGCACATTTGGATCAACATGACATCAAACACAGTTTGCCACTATTCTGGACATGTGGCCTAATACTGAGTTCCCTAAATAGTGTGTGCTTCTTTGATCTATGCTCACACCTTGGTCATCCAAGTTGAATCTTGTGGCTGCAGGCAATAGCTTTCTAGTGGTGGAAAATGAAAATTTCAAGTACATTTTGGGAGTTCATTGTTCCTTTTTAATTCCTATTTTCACATATCTGTGGTTCAGAGGACACCCTATGCCAATGTGGAGAGGCACATTGTCTTTCCCTATCTTTCAGACTTTCTAAGATTTTCAGTAAGTAGGGGTTTGTGTCAACCTGCCATTATTAAGGGACGTCACGCTTCCCTTGAAATTTTACAGTGGTACTTCATGTGTCTCCTTGGAAATTCCAACATTGGGAAAATCTTGCTGTCCCCTTCGTCGTGTTCTTCTGGGGAAAGAAATATAACTAGTGTAATAACTCAGACCCCGGTATACAAATCCAAGAAACTAGGAGACTCAAATTTGGGAAGCAATGGCTTTAATAGACCAAGCCTGATGAAGAGTCTCCGGGAGCCAATTTGGAGACCGAGTGCCAGAGACTGAAGGGAGGACTTTAAAAGGACGCTGGAAGAAAAGGTGGGGGGGGGATAAACAAAGAAACCTGCAGAGCCATCAAACTTGATGACCTGAATCTGGAAACTGTTTAGCTGTCCACTTAGTTCTGACAACCTCTGGAGCCTTTGGCACCTTTTGAGTTACTCCCATCCTGCAGATAAGAATTATCTGCAATAACATTTGGAGAAAAAAGTAGAAAGCTAATTATCTCAGGACAGCTCATTAACACTAACAAGTGGGAAGGAGTCGCAAATTACAAGAAGCTGAAACTTAAGCCTTCACCCAAGGATTTGGAACTTAACCCTTTTGGTGCATTAGTGTTAAGCCACATTTTCCTGTAATTTCTTTGAAGCTAAGGCAAATTTTATGACAGTCCACCACCGGGTCAGGAAGAGGTCACCAGAAACCCAAAATCTTTATGGCCTAGCCTAGATAGATAGGTAAGGGGAGAGCAGAGGCAATAAGGCACTATACAGAACAAAACATGGTGGTTATGTTTTTCTTTCTTTTTGGGGAGGGTGATCAAGGTCAGGTAAAGGGTTATGCTAGTAAGAAAATCTCCCTACACACAAGCAAGTTACTTCAAACAAGTGTAATTTAGAGGGCCATCCTAGTTTTCTTTAGCTGTTTAGCGGAGAATAGAGGTGCCTAACAGTGATTAACAACCCTTGTTAGCTTGTTTTAGCACAACTTCTGTTGTTTGTAGAGAGCAACAATGGTTAACATATCAATTACGTAAGGTTATACAATTCTTTACAGAGAAGAGCATTGATTAACATATCAATTAGGTCATCCAAATACATAAGAAGGAACACTCATACAGTAAGCCCGTGTTACAGGTTTTGTTAAAACACACATACAAAGAAACTATTTTCTTAGAGTACAACATTCCCCACTGATTTTAGTCAGTGAGTCAAATCATAGACTCATTGGCATCTGTTTATAACCTTGCATGTGTCTTTAAAATCATATGCTTTTAAGATCTTTGACATAGTTTATCAACTTGTTTACAACACAAGGCCCAGTAGGAGGATTAACAAAGGTCTTGCAGCTGTCATTAAAGCTGTTAACCAAAAGGAGAAAGAAAACCAGCATTTAAATTTACTCTGTTTTATCATACAAGTAACAATTTTAAGTCAGACAGAGTCCTCATCAGGGTCTCTACAAAGGAGGAGAACACAAAATTATCAGTTACTTTAGACAATCTTAAGCTTTAAAGTGTCCTTGGAAGAAATGATTCTTATCCGCAGACTAATTGTCTTTTGAAGCTGGGACCTGCTTGCAGTGGGAACGAAGAATCCAGGCAGGCTTTCAGCTATACTTTGATAGTCCATTGTGGCTCAAGAGATTCATGGTGAGGTTGCTTGATGAGGACCCGTGTCCAGGTGTCTAGGCTCTCCAGCTCACAGTGGGCATCAGCGAAATAACCAGTGGAAGGAAGTCAGAGCTAGCTGACAAGTCTGGGGGGGGGGACTTAATAAGATCTTGATTAGTTAAATCAGCTAATTTTTTAGAAAACTTTAAGGATAAGAGGAAGGTCTCTCATATAAAACCTCAAATGAGGAAATATCTGCAACATAGGGGGTGCATCGTGCATGCAAATGGGCAAAAGGAAAAGAGACTCACTCAGTTTTTGCCAGTTTTAAAGGCCCTTAGTAATTATGGTCTTTAACATCTGACTTATCTGTTTACCTCTCCTGAACTATGAGGCTGGTAAGCCCAATGGAGTTTTCTAATTGATCTGCAAAGCTTAGGTTAGTTTGAGTTACTAGGCTATAAAAGCCGGGCCATTGTCAGACCCCATGAATTAAAAGGGAGACCAAATCAGGGAAACTGCTATCAGAGCTGACTCAGACTAAGTAGAAAACAGTTTTACACATCTAGTGAAAGTATCAGCCATTATAAGTAAACACTTATATCTTTGAAGTTCAGGCTTTTTTATTTTTATAAAATCTATTTTCTAGTGTTTTCTAGGCATAGTCCCATGATAACCAGTGGTTTCTATTTGTTGCAGTTCTTTTGGATTTACCATTTGGCACTGAGGGCGTCTAAAGCTCACAGACTGGGATAGCTTGATATTAGCCCCCAGGGATCTCTCAGAAGTACAGCTACCAAATGCTAATCTTTTTAAGTGCCAGTGGGCTCTGACAAAGAATGTAGGTGGAATCATCAGTAATGTCAAGCTTATCTCAATCCCCACTGATTTTGGGGCTGTCTGGCTGTCTTTTGGAAGGTGACATTTGTCAAATTATTTTTCTGTATAACAAGATCATCTTCTGCCCAATGGGGTATACAGCAGATAGTAGCCACTCTCCTTGGCATCTAGATGGCAGCCAACAAGTCCAAATTTGGGTAGCAATTTTAATCTTTTGACCCCAGAAGCTGATAAACACCATTTTTGATTAAGACAACTTGAGGACTCCGTGTGGGCAATGAGTTTAGCCCACTAGGTTGATGTCTCTGGCTCTAAGATTTGTTCCCATAGAACCTGAGAGTGTATAATGGCAGCTCCTGTGACTCGATTACCTTGATAGACACGTAACTGCTTCTATTGGAGAAGTAGGATGGAACTCTAGATAGTGACTTATTTGCTAGATCAAGTCAAAGTCCCGTGAGGTGATCAATGACCTCAGTACAATTGTGGTGAGGCAACAAGGGGTCATCCTCAGGCAGAAAAGTAGGCGAGTTTGAAGCTGCTGTTTCCAGAAATAGTGTCTGATAGTGTATGGCTCAGGAGTTAGACACCCATCATTTGGCGGGCCTTGATGAGAGTTTCCAGTGAATAGGAGGAAACAATTAAGAGTTTGTGTCCAAAAGTCAGTTTTTAAGCCTCCTTTATGAGGGGGCCACAGAGGAAATAACCGCAGACAGAGTAGCCATCTGGCTGCCACAGAGTCAAGTCTCTTGGAAAGATAGGCAACAGGCCTCTGCCAGGGTCCCAAACTCTGGATCAGTCCTGTGGCTCCTAGAAATTTTGCACTTGTCTTTTGGTCACAGGGACTGGAATCTGTTAGATGGCTCACAACAACCAGTACAGTCTTTCTTTGTGTAGTCTGGTTTTGACAAGGTCAGAGGGACTAGCATCAGAGCAGTTACTTTCTCGGCTGGCCTCTCTGATGTGATTGCTACTCTTTGAGTGGCCTGATCTGCCAAATTGTTCCCTCGGGTGAATAGCAGCAATCTGCTGAGACAGCCAGACTGCTGCCAGCATGTCTAGGATGTGTGGAGCATTTTTTTATCTTAGCCCCAGCCAAGGTTAAGAGACCTCGGTCCTAATAGATGGCTCCATGTACATGTATAGTAGCAAAAGCATATCTGCTATCAGTATAGATGTTTACCCTCTTTCTTATGGCTAGTTTTAGCACCTCAGTCAAAGCAATGAGCTCTGCCTTTTGGGCTGGGGTGGCAAGCTCTAACCACTTAACCCAGAGTAACTCCTTTTTGGTGGTCACTGCTGCCCCGGCCACTCATCTGCCACTCTGGATGAAGCTGCTTACATCTATGAAATTCCTCCAGTCATCGTCAGGCATAAGGATGGCTGGGTTTAAAGCTGAAGAAGTCTTGAAAACTACCAACTCTGGGTCTAGGAGCAGGGCCTAATTGTGTGAAATTCTAGTGTTCG